GAGGATGATGATAAGAACAATCCACCAGCTACAAATAACAACAATAATCCACCTGCTACCGATAATAACAACAATAATAATCCACCTGCTACCAATAATAACAATAACTCCGGTACATCTAATACAGCTACCATAAATACTACTAAGAAACCGTCTACAAAAAAACATCCGAAAAAAATTCGTGTTATTGTTTCCGGTTTTAACTATAATATTAAACGTAAAATTACCAGAAGACCTCCAAAAAAGCAAATTACTAAACAAAATAAAAAAATCTATAAAGTCATTGTACCGAAACCGTTTGTTCGAAGACCCAACTATAATGTTATATATGTTGGATAAGGGAGATTATTTTGATGAAATTGTGTTATTGAATTTCGTTTTTTTCATGTTCGATAATGGTTTAATAAAATTATGATATTTACATATCAATTTAACATTTTTGACGAATAAAATTTAAATAATTTATAGTTTTTAAAACGATTAAAAGTGTAATATCTCATCTTTTAATGGAAAGGAGGAGAGTGTGGAAATTACCAACAATTATATTTTATTTGAAATATTCGGAGTAATAAGTGGACGAAATCTATTCACAAAGATAATATTTTTTGCCAGTATTTGAATATACGAAATCTTTAAAACATTAGAAGTTAGAAAACGAATTACTGTTAAATAAACCTTTTCATGGAAGATACGGTTAACTGCACTTATAACATTATTATGCGAATTACAATAGACAGCTTTATATAAAAGAATGATTTCGAGTCGGTCGCTATATTTATTAAGGTGAGTGTAGTAGGGCTGGCGTTAAACATCGGGGTGCATCCTTAATAAAAAAACTTTGTGTTTTCTTAACAAAATTTTTCTCTAAAAACTACAATTATAAAAGTTACATTGAAGCATTTTTTGCCACCAATAAAAAGAATAAAGAGAAATAAAGAAACAAATTTCCAAAGAAAACTAAAACTAATAACTTACGACAGTTTAACAAAAGTATAAATTAAATGAACAACCGAAAATGTTGTTCAACTTGAGGTTGTTTTTAAGAGGCGGAAAATGAAATGAATATGAAATCTGTGTTTTTGTGTAGCAACAATGTGTATGTTGCAACGTCAACATGTACGTATAAGTGTCATATTCATTATACAACATGTAGTACGAAAAAAAAAACTTCTTACGAAGGATTAAATGAAAATCACGTAAAAAGTTTATTGTTATTCACAAATGTTATTGCAGTGTTGCAAATACTAATAGAAGTGAGTAGTGTTATTGCTGGTGTCAATACTAATCGTACATATTGCACGTAGTAGAGGATTTTAAAGAATCTGTGGTCACAAACGATAACTGTTCTAAGTTGACTTATCCTATAAACAAAATTTTTACCTCAAAAACGATTACTTCTCTAACAAATTTGTCTGAAAAGATTAAAGAAAAATGCTTCGGTTATGCTCAATTCTGTGATTTTTATCGAAAGTTAAGCTGTTATTACTTGTGCTCAGTGATATACATTTTTAATTTTGAATCTTTTTTCCCGTTTTGGCATTTTATTTTAACAACATGTATTGCATTGCAACATGCTTTGTTAAGTAATTTGGCTTTTAGTTTTAATTGTTAGTGACGGTTGATGTTGGGTTAAAGTTTCTTATTTTTCGTTGTTTTACAGTTGTTGTGGTGTGCAATATCATTTAATATTAAAGAAAATAATGTTTGCCAAATAATAATAAAATATAGTATAGATCAGCAATTGCATTACACCAACGGTGATGAATATCAATCCTACCTAAGCAGAGAAGGACGAAATATTCCACAAGTGGAAAAATATTTTCCGGTTCTTTCATGGATTATATGCTCGTGTAGAAATTTATGATTTACAAAGCATTATATAACATTTACGAAAGATTCAGATAACTTAGTAAACATTATAGCTTACCTTCATCAAATCAATTAATTTTATTTCGAAAGTTTCTTTAACATTTTTAACATCACTCATTTCAAGGTCTTTAGTCAAAAACTAAATAAATAATAAATAAATATAAATTTTTTATACTTTTTTCACACTTTTTGTTTATATACATACATATGTACATATTTATTTGGTAAATATATTTTAAATTAATTTCTCAGTGTCAAATACAAGCTGAAATAAAGATTCAGACATGATCTTGCCACATTATAAAATGAGTAGAAAACTAATTGGCAAATTTGTTTAAGGGAAAAAACCAACGAAAGCTGTGTAAATAAATAAATTATAAATAGAAATTGTTTGCAGACAAATGATAAAGCAAATATTTAAATGTTTGAATTTTGTTAGAATGCACGGTGGTCAATTCCGGCCAAAAATGATTTCTTTCAATTATTTAATTCTGATAAATTTTTGATGGTAGATTATAGCTTATACTTCAAATAATACAATTTAAATGATATTTTGATTATTGCTTAATCTTGTGACTGTTTATACATATGCAAAGTTGATAATATTTAGCCTGTCATTTTAAGGTTTTTAAATTAGATTTTAGACACCTTTACTTAAATGAAGTCTATGATTTTTCCTTCAAGTTTTTCTTTGTAGTCTTAGTAAGTGACCATTCCATGTGGTTATTGCGATTTTGTGCGGTTTAATTTTTTTCGGTACTTTAAAAACTAAAAAAACTATACAAATCCAAATTTTGAAAGACCGTAGAAAAGAAAATGTGGCTATAAGAGGTTGAGTGAACATTGGATCTACTACTGTTATATATCAGGAATAAGTATTATAAATTTCATCTGCAACTTCCTGCAACTCTAGTAACTAGAGCATTTTTAACAATTTCGTCTATTACAAATGCTGAACTTTTCCATATATTTCAACTTCATAAAAATAGAGAACGGGACGACATATTATCAATAGTACAAAATCAAATGGAGGAGGGAAGGGTCAATTATGGACTGAACTAAATAAAATTTGATAGAAGGATTTTACCGTCTATAAAACTTGTTTATGTTGATATTTATGTTTATGCGGATATTTATCAGTCAGTTAAATCCATTTTCTTAAGGATCCTTATATAGGGGATAGGGTCAATTATGGACCAATTGTTCATATAAAACATGTTTGTGTCGAATTCCATTGCTAGACAGATATATTAAAGCCAGTAATAAGTGTTAAAGTAATTTTTTGCAAGGAACCTAATATGGGAGGTAGGGTCAATTATGGACCAATTCTCATAAAATTTTATAGTGAAATTAGGTTCCTATAAAACTTGTTTGTGTCGAATTTCATTGCCATACAGATAATTTTAAGCAGTAATGAGCGTTAAAGTAATTACCTGAATGGGACCTTATATGGTAGGTAGGGTCAATTATGTACCGATTGCCAGAAAATTTGGTCGAGAGGTTTAGGTATTTTGTGTCAAATTTCGTTGCTTTACTAGTATTTTTAACCCAATTATCAGCATTTAATAACCTTATACAAGTACTAGGGTCAAATATGACCCCATGTCCGCCATACTATACCGTAAAATTTATGCGTGCATAAAACTGAAATTTTATAGTGATATCAGCTAAATTTCATGGAAATTGCTTCATATTTAACGTATTTATGAGTATTTAAGGAGTTTTCTGGGGGGTCACTTGTATAGGGGCTAGGCGAAATCTTCAACCGATATTGCCCTTAGTCAGTACCAAACAAGCCTTACCTATAAGAAACATTTGTGGATTTTTGGCCGGAATTTACCACCGTGGAATGGGCCAAAGTTTGAACATCAAAACCTTTTTTAAATCAATTTCTAATAATGAATGTACATATGTACATTAGGGTAATGACTTTTTGAATTTTTTTTAAATATAATATTTTACACCTCTCATTTAAAAGGACCATAAACAAGTATCAGTTTTATATTCGGCTGTGCCGAATCTTACATACCCTTCAACATGATGCTTAAGTGCAAAAAATTATTACAAAAAATCAAAAACGAAAAAGTACCAGAAAGTCCCCTTTCATAGATTCTCATTTACTTCGGGCTCTACATGCTTAATGTCATGTTACTAGGTCCAATATTATACAAAAATACAAAAAGTAACGAAAAAGTATAAAAAAGCACCTTTTATAGGTTCTCACTTAATCCAAGCTCTACATGCTTATTTTTATGTTTCTAGGTTCAATATTATAGAAAATTTAAAAAGTACCTTTTGTAGAATGAAAAAGTACCAAAAAGTCCCCTTTTATATGTTCTCACTCAATCTGGGTTCTACATGCTTAATTTAATGTTTCTAGGTTCAATATTATAGAAAATTAAAAAAAGTACCTTTTGAAGAACAAGTACCAAAAAGTACCCATTTATTGGTTCTCACGTAATCTGGGCTCAACATACTTAATTTCGTAACGTGTTGTTCTTTCTTTGCTTTGTTTTTATAAACAAGCAAGTATAATAACAAAATTTATCGTATGATAACGTATGTTGTTGCTGTTTGTTTATAATTTCTGATGATTTAAAATAGCGTTCTTCCCGAACTTACATATGTCTGATAGAATTATTTAAGATATCTGGGATCTTCTGAAAACTGATTTCAACATACACACAGACAGACGGACAAATGGACATGGCTAAATCGAATCCTTTATTTATAATGATCCAGATTATATATACCTTATAGGGTCGGGAAATTACACGAAAGTAAAGGGTATAAAAATATTTCGGAACACCGTCTTTCGATTTTGTTGTTATCAAAAAAGTTTCCACATTAAACAATTTGAAATTTGTTCTATATATTTTAGTTTTTCATTGAAAAAGAGCGCATAACAGGACCGATAGTGGCCTAGTTGTATATCTTCGGATTTTATATAGTATATATTATCCTATCAACCTAACCTAGTAATAATATAAATTTCATTCAGAAAATCAGTTTGTCAACTTTTTGATGACTGGTGGCAACATATGTATGTATAATGACCTCTACAAAAACCACTGTAATGTTCGAAATATAACACTCTTACATGTTATAAACTATAGATTTTTTTAACTCACCTGAATCGGTGATGAAGACATCCATTGTTGAAATAGATCAGACGTAACCGAAGGTCTTTTCAATGGTTGCTTGCGATTTTCGATAAATTCATGAAGACGTGCCAAAGCTTCCGGTGGTGCACGCTCAAGTAGCCATTTTTCAAAAGCTTCTGGTTTCTCTTCAAACAAACGAGCCACTTCATCTACATCTTGAGCAGAAGCTTCACGCTGTTGTTTTGTTACACTCTTAATGGAGGGACTCGAACAGCTGATGGGTGAACTCAATGCTGTTGCTGTACCCATTATATTGCTGCTATTGCTATTACCACCACCACCACAAGTTCTTGTGGGTGAGGGTGTTGATGATGGTGACGCAGTGACTATAGTTTCTGGTGAAACGAAATCTTTGTCGGTTTGTAAGGCGGGCTTTGTAACAAGTTGATTCGATTGATTTGCTGTTGTGATTAAAGTAGTTGAACAGGCAGATGTATTTGTATCATAAGAAACTAATGTTTGACTAGGAGTTGTAGCCGGTGATTGACTTGTGGGTGTTGGACTTTTAATACCCACTGTTGACATTTTGTTGCTTGCTGTTGTTATTGTTGTTGCTCCTGCCAAATATTGTTCGTCTTTGGTTATTGCTGGTATTTGTATTTTATTGATTTTTGTTGTAGAACCATTGGTAAGTGAACCGGTTGCTGCTGTTGGCGTTGCTGACGTTGTATCCGCTATTGAGTGACAGGTTTCATTGTTATTTTTTATTGATTTAGCACTTTGTAGTGCGTTTGTTTGTGTCGTTGACACATCTGTCATTGTGTTCTATGTACCAGCAATAGTACAAGGATATTTTGAGGAGACCAGCTCTTCTTCTCACACTTGTTTCGTTTATAGACATTTACGCAAAAAAATAATGTTTGGGATACAACAAAAACTAATTTAAAAACAATCAACCTCTATAAAGTTCAGCCATAATCAATCAAAAATTACCACAACAACATGAACTTGTCATTTAACACAGAAGAGCTTTTTTTGCTTTTCGTTACAATAATTAAATAAATAAACCAAAAATGTACTTTTCTCTCTTTCTTTTCTTCTCTTGTTAGCTGATAAATTTGAATAAACGTTAATGTCCTTTCTCTCTCCTTTTAACACAGTTTGTTTGAGTTGCTGTGGTCTTACTTGGTTATTGTTGGTATGATATTGGTAGTTGTTGTATCAATATTTGTTGTGATTACATTATAGATTACCTGTGGCTTTTGTAATTGATGACTCTTGACTGTTTTACTGTTGAATTTTATTGTTGTTGTTAAATGTCTGAGTAATTTTCATTGGATTTTGTGCTTATAAAAAATGTGCAATATTACGAATTTCGTACATCATTGTTAAGTTGTTTTTAGCCTTTGTAATGTAAATCTTTTCTTTTTGTTTTACTTTATTATATTCTTAACAAATAAATAAATATTGTGTTTCTTTGTGTTTACTTTTCTAGATTTTGTTATTTTCTTTTTATATTATTTTGTTTGTCTTCATTTTTTAAAGCAAACAATCACTTGTTTTTATTAAAATATATACTCCGTAGTAAGAATTTCCTTATTTTATATTAAGTTTATACTCTCTACTCTTTACTGTGTTTAGTTCAGTTCAGTTTAGTTGTGTTTAGTTCGGTTTGGTTTCAGTTAAGTTGTTTGGTTGGTTGGATGATTTACTTATTTGGTTGCCAAGTATTTTGTGTTTTAACTGATTGTTGAGCTGGTCTGAAAAGCATCCTTCTACAGTTGCTTAATATGCAGCCAATAGCAAAAAACCACCATCTGAAAATGTAATGAAATATAATAATTCATTGGTTGCCTTATGTAGTAAACAAATAAATTAAATTTAAGTATATAAAAAAGTTTAACAATTACTTTTAAAAAATAAAACCATTAATTTATGTAGAATAGAAATACTTTTTGTTCAAGAAAGAAATAATCTTTTGCAAAAGCATAAAATATTTATTGAAGTGGAAAGTGAAACGATAAAGGTGTTGGGGCTTGAATAGCTATAACTTTATAATTTATGTACTTTTAATGTGTATGTGGGGTTCCGCAAAACTGCATATACATATTTCGTAAGGATTCTACTAAGTAGTACAATTCCTTACAATAGAATAAAGGTTGAACCCACCAAAATCGCACAATTTTTAATCGTTTAAATCTTTAAAACTAATTGACCAATTAAAATAAAATTTTGTATTTGTATAGCCTATAGTATTCTAATTTAATTCCTGTAAATAGATTTTTAATTGTTAATTTGGTTTTTATTATAAGATTTGACATTATTTGCTGTTACAATAATTATGTAAAATCAAATAAATATTTTTGTCAAATATTTTATTAATCTAAACGTAACACATTTATTTATTTAGTTCGCCAATTGCATATACAGTGGACGTCCAATAGTACGTACACTCTTTATTACGAATATCCAATAATACGAATGGCAAAATTGTTGCATTGTCTACTCTATAGTACGAATAAAGTCACAATTTTTCTGTTCGATAGTACGAATAACTCATTTTTTATGGGAATTTTGGTTTTATTTACGTATGAATGAAGTTTTTATTATGTTTTTATTTTATTATTTTGGTATCATTCACCTTAAGCTCAGTAATTTTGAAGTTTTTTTGTATTTATTACAAGTGTTTTGTATTTTTAAAAATCCTATACACACAATTTACTGCATGTATATTTACAAATCAACAATTATTTAGTGTTATTAATTTATTTTATTGGAATTTTGATGACCCAAGAGAAGAAATTAAATTGGATGATAACGCCAATGAGGAAAGTATTTTATTAGTTCCCGACAATAACTCTGCTGAGAACAATATTGAAGCCTCAAAAGCGCTGTTATTGAAAAAGCCGTAAGAATCATTTTACAATGTAATAAACATCGATGTTAAATGATGGATTTTTTAATAAGTAAAATGATATTGATATACATACATATGTATGTATGAACTGTTAATTTTGAAAGTAGTTTGACTCCACATTCCAAACAATGGGTTTAAGGATAACTATTCTAATTTTTAAGAGAAAATTATAAATTAGAGAATTGTGGTATATTCCATTCAAGTTTCTAATAAAAGTTTTATGTAATCTGAACATTTTAATACATTTTAGAACACATATGTAAATTGCAAATTGTCTTTGGCACACATCTTTTTAAAAACATTAAAATTTAAAACCTTCTACATATATCTCATTTCAACCATTGGACTCACAATACTTTCAAAATTAACAATTCATATACGTAAATATTGTCCCTTTTATGCCTGTTTATGTACAAGAAATTTATTTAAAATAATACATATTTATTATATTTTGTTCCGTTATGTAATTTTTCATGAAAAATAAAACAAAAATAAATAAAATCCAATATTTTATGTGTATTATTTGAATTTAAACATACAAAATGTGTTGTTCAATAATACGAATTTTTCGGTATTACGAAAGGGCCTGACACTATATAATTCGTACTAGTGGACGTCCACTGTATTCTATTATTACAAAAATAAAGAATATAACTACAACCCATATTTTATTTATTGGTTTAATAGCTGTAAGATATTCCTATTTATGACACTAGTAATAAGTGAATAAGATCGTATAGATCGTTAAATCCAGCACACATACTTCGCATCGGGTCAAATTTGACATACATACATAGTTTGAGCGGAAATATTGGAGTTTAAGAGGAATATAATTTCTTGTTTGACGATTTGGAATATGAATTCGGGTTTTCCTTGTAAGAGTTCTAGATCTGTTATATATTCTTCTACTTTTTAGAGTAGGGTGCTTTATATGTATCAATTGTCTTTTATATGATGAAATATTAATAACATTGGGTTTCCAAGGGAGACTAAACTTAAGTATTATTTCTTTTAAAATCCAAATCTAATTCATATTCTGGATGTGTTTTCTTTTATACTCAACTAGTTTGTTGAAATTCAAATACTATTCTTAAAATGTGTTATTTCATTCCAAAAAACACTCAGTTTTAAAGATTTCAAAATTTATTCTGATTACACTTTATACATGTGCATAAAAACTTTAACAAATTATATACATTTTAAGAACTACTATTGTTTTGAGCCAACATTTGCAAAACTACTTTAACAGCTTGTAAAAACAATTCCTGCCATAAAAACCAAAACTGTTATCTAGAGAAATAAAATGCTAAACTAAAAACAAAAACTGTGTATGTAGTGTTAAAGTGGAAACAAACAAAATTTGTAAAGGGTACAAATTAGACGGGCTCAAGAGAAAAATTTTACAAAGAAACCCTCGATTTACCGTCACTTTGAAAACTTTTTTTGATACATAAAACTAACATAAAAATATATATTTTCAGATATTTTATAGAATATAAATAATAGCAAAGATTCTGAAATCGCATTAATTTGATTTCCTATAACCTTTGAACCGATCTAATGTATTTTTGTTTGCATTCACTAGATCATTCATGTTGTGTGTAAAATATTAGTAGGCTTTGCGTGTAAGAGACATAGGGATTTATTAGCAATTTTAAAAATGCTTCAAATATTTGTATGTGAACATGGTTAAATTTTTTAAATTGCATTTTATTTGCAACAAACGCTTTCATTGCCAGAGAAGAATACTAGAAATGTGTCCTAAGAATATGTTCGCATGATAACTAGTAATATTTAAAATATGTACATATATACTAATATTTGTATGAATCCAGTAAGTATTTTTAAATCTGTACCTTTTCATTTATAACAGGAGTGCTAATAATACATGACCATTTTCAAATTTTTAACATTAATAGATTATTGTTTAAAGAGAATAACATTTGCCCATTTGCATACATTTTTAAAAGGACACATTGATAGGTATCAGATTTTGATTAGATACCATGCCCCCTTTAACGCCTTCTTTTTATAAAGCTTTTATGCAATACATTAAAAAAATATGTTAAAATACTTGACACAATATACTAACATCTTGATTTAATCCAGACACCGTAGTATACTTAACTCAACAGACATCCGCGTTGAATCTTGTTTTTGCATTTTTATGTTCACAACATATAATAACCTCTTCACAATAGTAGCGCTTAGAAAAGTTGAAAATTTAACTAATCAAAAACAACATTTTACCCCAAAAGTTAAGAGTTTAGAAAATTTTATAAAAATTACTTTTAAATATTAAACAATTTTTTTTATAAACTTTCTAAACATTGCCTTTTTTTTCTTAGAACCAGTAAAGAGGTTTTCAATATTTCATTTTATAAATAGCTTAAAGTCAAAAATGTTATTATCAATTTAATGATTTAGCTTGCTTTTTTTGTGAATAAATAAACTAAACAATAGCATCGATCTTAAGAAAAACCTTTTTTTTTTTTTCAATAAGACATTTAGTTAACTACTGTATCTATTACATTTTTTATTTATCTTATAGAAATTTATGAATTGAAGGAGTTTGTTATGAGATAAAAAGATATTTATTTTTAAGTAGCCTTTGGCTAAAGAACTGTTATGAACATATAATTCTTATAATGTTTAAGAAGAAGTGAAATCTATTCAAGTGAATTTAATTTGTGTTGGGAAGGGGTAAGAAGATTTGTTGCATCAATTTATTAGTACTTAATAGCCAGACAAATGTATACACATTCATTTGAAATGCGATTCCTATTTTTGGTATAATATCAGAGAATAAAGCTGAATTATTATAAAAAAAAGGAAATTACCCCACACTAGTTATGAGTATGCATATTTATGAATTTTTTTTAATTTCCCTACCGATATCAACCATTTTCAATAGGATTCGTCCTTGGATTAAAAGAAGAGTATGTGGCAAATTATCTTGTAAATTTCGATCTGTAACGTGCGGATAAGGTTTACATTGACACACGGACGGACATTTTTATACTTTAAGGTGGGTATAGCACCAATATTTTAGTACATTACAAACATCAGTACAAATCCATAATACCCCACTACTATAGTGGTGCAGAGTATAATTTTATAAAAATAATTAATGTTAAATGTTTACTGGCTTATGCAAAATCTATTAAAGTTAACAATGGTTTATAAAGCACTTTTTCCATATAACAAAATCCGGTTTTAAACTCTTTATAACTTTAATAATAGTTTTTGCATAGGACCTTTAAATGTTATTTATAACGAAATCAATATTTTAAAAAATGAAATTAAAAGACTTCAATAGACGTAACTTACGTCAACGAGTTAAGTGAAAATGATTTTTTAATTCACCCTGACATACAATGTACAATTAAGTTTGAAACTATAGTGAAATTTGTATATAAATATGTATAAAAATATGTTTACATACAATTTTCCCCCTTTTTCATATATGTATTCATAACGTCTTTCCACTAAAATAATTATTATCAAATTTACCACTTTTTCCCCATTTAGGAATGTATATGTGTGTATGTTTATACCAAATACTTAACACTTACATGTAGTGTTATGTTGTTGTACCTCTACTATAGTGTACTCAATGACATCTTAATCAGACAGGTACAATCTGTTGGTTAGAGCTATAAATAAGCACTTTCTTAAAAGGGAAATATGTAAATACATATATAAATACATATGTACGTATTTACATCACTCATTTTTTATAAGAATGGTATAACTCAATAAACGTTCTTTCGATAAAAACGGCTTTGAAGTTTTTATGACATTTTACAAGTCAAAGGATTTGAAAAATTAAACCGGGTTTCAATAACACAGGTTAACGAAATTAATGTTTGTGAAATCTTTTGAAACCAATTTGACTGA